TTGTTGTAAGTATGCCTATAGCACTAGTGTTACTATAAGCATTATCATAGAAATTGTCATTATTTTATCTCTAAAGCAAAAATATCTACAAATATCTGCAACAGTGTTAGCTATAACTTACCTGTGTGACATGAATTAATTATTCTATACGCAATAATGCGTTTTTGCATTGTCCACTCCTCATCTATCCAATGACTTGTAACAGTTAGATAATCACAATCATTACCACTTCTACCAATATCAGTAGTAATAGAAATCCGATTACTTATATGAGTAAATAAATACCGCAAATATTGTTCATATTCATGTTAATATTTATAAATATCGCTCTTAACTGTTGCGCGAGGCTAACCTTTATAAGTAGGATTAAAAACTCTTCTAATATAATGCATCCAATTAGGATTAGAGGGCAAAGAATAGGGTAAGCACATAACGGTAACCATCTTTGCTAATTCTTCACGATCTCTATTTGGATCATAATATAAAATACCTCCGGTCACAGTGTTAATTCCTGGTTGAACTAGATTTGAACCTGTACTAGGGTTAACATCAGAATCTACATGTGTTCCCTCTAGCTGCGCTTTCATTTGTAAATATCTAGTTTTATCTCTAGGGTGTGTTTTTATGTGCCTAGTCAAACTACCCGTGCCGCTACGGTCTCCAGTATATTTATGCGCCAGTAATTTCCCACATGTTTTACACTTAGCCTTATTTTGTTCTCTTACTTGAGTTAAAAAAATAATTCAAACTAATGATGTTTCTAGGCGTTTAGGAGGTTGTCTATTAAAACTAGGGGTTTCTACAGGTGGGTCGGGCGTTACATCAGTTGGGTTATTAAAAGGACTAGTAAGTGTATCATCTAAATCCGGTTGGGTTTCATCTTCATCCTCATTTCAAAGATAGTTTCATTAGGATAAAGAGCATTCATAGTTTCATCATCTAAATTTTCACCTGGNCGGGCTTTAAAGACCCGTTAAGACTGGCCCACCAGGCCCGTTAGGACCGTGGGCCCGGTCCGGTCCGGTTCAGGCCCGGCCCACCATACAGTCTTAATTGTGCCATTATTATTGGCCATTGTTATTGCTTTTCCATCTATTTTCTGTCTTTTAAGATGCTGATATTATTTTTCTGGCTTCTATTGTCGTTACGAATATATTGTCTCTTTTCATCTTCTTGAGCCGTGGATCTTTCGAAAATAACCTCTCTACTCCTCCGGGGTAGGGGTAAAGTCAACGTTCGCACTTCTCTCCCCAGACCCCACTGTGGGATTTTACTTGGTTGTTGTTGTACATTGTTTTGTGTGTGGGTCAGGGGAGGAGGGGGAGGGGTTTATAGCCCGTTTGGCCAAGCTGTAAAAATTAGCTTATTTTGAGAAGTGCTTTTCTCAAAAGTACTTTTGGTGAGAAGCATTTTGTGTTTGGCTAATTAATTTGAAAAACACTTCTGAGCAACAATTAGTGTTTGGCCAAGCTTTAAAAAACTGTTTCGAAGTGTATTTTTCTCAAAAGTACTTTTCAAAAAAGTGCTCTTGGACAAAAGCTACTTTTTTCTGTTTTTCCTCAAAAACACTTTTTTCCCTTCCAA